CTTCTACTTTTGAACATTGCTAAATAGTAGATAGTCACCATTCTCTGAACATAGACCCAGGAGAATACAAAGTTTCCACAATACCTCACTAGCCGAGATCTGTCTTCTGTCCTTTGTGGTCTTTATCTGATGGTGATAACAAAAGGAAGAACAGAATTTGGATAACTGCATAAATGGGGCCATGACCACCATTATTCTCTTCCCTTTTTTATTCATATCCAACTTGTGATATATTGTGAATAGTCTAACATAGCGTTGTGAGAGCTCCACCTCTAACCAAGTGAATGGTACTAAAATAGGTATTATTCTGATGTTCTGTTGTGTTGGATTTTATTTCATTGTTCCTAGTAATATAAATCAGAAAAAGAAAGCCAATCAATGATTATGTTTTTTCCTTATTCTCCAAACTTTTCCCAATTTTCTCCACTTTAGGGAATACACAGCCAAGAGGAAAACTTCAAGCCCTTTAAAAACAAAGTTATCACCACATTTCAAGAAAATGACATCACTGTTTGCAAACCTTTCTGTGTGTGAAAAGTAGGCTTGAGAGAATTGCTAATAATGGTAATTAAATGTGTTGATTGGCTATTTACCAATACCCAATGCTCTTTGTGTACATCTTGACACTTTGAAGCTGCAATTTGGTTGATTGGAGCCTTTGATCCCAAGAGGGGAGCATATGCAGCATCTCTTTGATTTTCTTCTCATTTGCTAGACTCTTTAGTAAATAGAGACCAGAGGGCTTCATTAACACATCTGCTGCTTGGTTTTGGAAATGATGGGATATGAGTTCATATTACACATCACTGGGGAAGCAGTTGCAGTTGTGAAGACAGGAAAACACTTAACCGCAGAACTTTGAGACACCACATGCTTGAGAGAATTCCCAAACACTGAAGCAAAGGTCAAGGGTAAATCGGAGGAAGAAAGGAAACTTTAGCTGATGCAAGAGGAGCAACACAGTGCCTTGTGCCTTAGTCCACCTTCTCATTTCACATAAACATAATTAGAGTTGGGATCGTGACACAAAAACAAGAGGTCATCTATCTGGAGGATTTCAGAAATCTCACGGATAACATTCAACTGACATCCCCAATGGGTTGATACAAAAACACCTTTAATTAAACGCTTACTTCTTTTTTCTTGAGACAGAGTCTTGCTACTCAGTCCAGGCTGGCCTTGGACTGGCTATGTAGCCAAGACTGTCCTTGAATGCACTATTCTCCTGCCTCGGTCACCCAAGTACTTGGATGACTGGCATCTACTGCCACAAGCAGCTTCACTTTATTTTGTCCCTTCGTGAGTAGTTTCAAATTTAAAAATGATAAGTAAATTAAACACATACCAAATAAATCAAGCCTGTCTATCAAAAGGGAAAGTAATAAATACAGGCCCACTTGTTTCTTAACAGCAAGAACTGTTTTGCTTGTGCATAGCTGTTGTCCTTGTTGGACTATGAGTTTTTAACAGCCCTTGTGACCAATCATTTTGATACCTGGAGCTGATCAGATGCCTCCCTGGTGCTTTCCAAGCTTGCCATAGGACCAGGCTGCCAGAACTACCTTTCTTGTTATTAACGTACTCACAGGCTGAAAGAGTGGTCTTGGGAATTGCATAAATAAAACTTTTTTGAAATTAGGAGAAAGGGAATCAAACATAGTTTACCAAGTAAGATCATTTTGGAAAATTTCTGTCTGTTATTACCATATTTTAATGAAAGACAAGAACATCCTAATCTTAGAAATTTAGAAGACATAATCTTAGGAAAAAACCAAGATATTCTATGGAATGAGGTTCCCAGTATGAAAACTCACTACATTATGTTTATCTTCTCACTGTGTAGCAACCTGTAAAAAGTTGGTCATGGCCAACATTAGTCCTCAAGCTAGGAGGAAGTGGGAAATCCTAAGTGAGACTCTGAAGACACCGTCAGTTTTTAAAAAATATTAAAATCTCTGAGAGAGGGGAGGAGAATGGGGGAAATAAAAGAGGAGCAAAGATATACATGTACAGGTATAAATTCCCTATGATGAATGTGATCATTATGTATATCTAAATTATACCAATAAACTTAATAAAAATAAATAAATAAAATATCTGAGTTTTAAGAAAAAACTTAGAGGGGGCTGGGGATTTAGCTCAGTGGCACAATGCCTACCTGGCAAGTGCAAGGTCATGAGTTCAATTCCCAGTACCAGAAAAAAAAAAAACAAGAAATTTAGAAAAAATTTGTGCTTACTGTGTTACCCATGTGCATTCTAACCAGTCTCCATTCCCGTCCTGGAAAGCTGCCCTGGAAGGCTCTGTGGGGGGCCTGGGAATAGTAAGGACCCGCCCACGCCAGCTCACAGCCAGGATCCTGCCCACAGGAGCTCATTTTTGAATGTGTTGTCATCTTTGTTGTTCTTCTAAATATTCACCCTACTCAATACACTGACAAACTTACAATTCCTTTTTTTAGAGATCTAAATCTCTAGATTCCTACAAGGAATGCATTCCTTCCAAAGATACTGAGTCACTAGTCAAAATTGCAGATGTCCATGTTTCTGCCCCATCACCCCAAATGTTTTCAGTGCATTGAGGACTTCAAACTCAGGCCTAAGGAGAAGATGATAAGCCACTCCCACTTAGTCATTTCAGGGTATATGCTTCTAGAACTTAATGTTGAAAACCTTTTTCTGAAAATACAAACCACATATTTATTACCAAAATTATACCTATACTGGCACATGTGGCTAGGGATAAAACTATGAAATCCACACAGTTTTTCCATAGTTGGCCCCACTTTTTGGAATGGAAAGAGACTGAAATTTGTAGCTTGACAAAATTGGAGTCAAATCCTGTCTCTACCTTTTATGAGCTGTTTTCCATAAGATATATTTTCATCCTTCATTCTCTTATTTACCTAAAAGACTGGAGTGACTTTTCTATGCTAGTCATGGTGCTAAGCATAAGAGTACAGAGATGAGCAAAGCACATCTGCACCTTCTGCAATACACAGTCAGGGGCAGAGGGCACCGGGATGTAATCAGTGAATTCACTGCGAAGAAGTGTGCAGGAGGTGTTATGGATTCAGAGAGAGACACCTACATGATCTGAGGGGATCTGAAGTAGACACCTACTTCTTTCTGGGCAGGTGCTCTCCAAGATGAGCCTTTTTCAGGAGTAATGTCAGCCAGTTGCATTGTGGGTGTGGGACGAGGCATTGCTGGCATACGAAGCAACAGAAGCCAAGGCACAAGTGGAAGAAAGCATGGGAACTGCAGGGACAGTGGGGGTTGGAACCCAGGCTTCTGTAGTTCCAAAGCCTGGGGATGCTTCTGTGTGCCTTGAGGGTGTCGGGCTGCGCTAGTGTGCTTTACAACTTCCATGGTTCTCACTCGAGCTCATTAGATAGGTCAGGAACAGTTGTTTCATACACAGATATCAATATATACGTTATTCTATAATTATATAATAATATAATTCATATAATATAAGCTCATCATTTATAGTTATTGTGTTATTTTATGTGTATAAAATATAATACATACAACAATTTATATAATAGTTCATATAAAATCTATTATAATATATAATAGTTTTTGACAGTGTAGGGGGATTAAACCCCAGGACTTAACAGTAAGCTACATGCCCATTCCTTTTCATTTTTTCATGACACAAGGTCCTGCTAAGTTGTCCAGGTGAGACTTGAATTTGCATTCCTCCTGCCTCAGCCTTTCTCGGTGCTGGGACTGCAGGCCTGCTCCTCTTGCCCAGTTCTAAATTATTTTTTAAAAGAGAAAAACTCCCCACCTCCCAAAAAAGAAAAGCTCCCAAAATCTCTCCACTATGTGACATCATGGGCTAACAAGGCATGAATGTGCCACCAATTTACTTCTTTCTGGGTGAACTTTGGAATAAATCTTCTGCTCTCCTATTGTTTAATTGTAACTGTAGCATTTATTGTGGAAAAGGATGCTGCCATTTTGTGTTAGCGTTTTTAAGGAAAAACAAAGAAAAAAAGCTATGTGATACCTGCTCTGGTCTGTCTCTGTGTGAAGTGGCTGAGCACCACCAGAGCACACACCAATAGAATGACAGGAAGTGATGCTAATTGTGGATGTTTGTTGAGTGTTTTGTGGGCAATGCTCCATGCTAAGCAATATCCTCCACCTTAGAACCAACATTCTATTGAAATGAACGACATTACTGTCCTGGTTTTATATATGAGTAAGCTAAGGTTTACCATTCTTAAGTAACTCTGAATAATTATGGGTAAGTGTTGAAGCTAAATGTAAAGCTATGGCATCTGTCACACAAATTTACCCTTTTCAACATAGACCCTGTTCCTGACACACGATCTGAACATCCTTATTACTTCAAAGCTCCCCAGGAGTATCCAGAACTGAACAGCCCATTTTACCGTATAATATTATAAAAACATTGGACAAAGAGTTATACTGAAGAACTCTGGAAAATGCTTATGTACCTTATCTTTTAAAAAACAGCAAAAAGAAGGGCTGGGGTGTAGCTCAGTGGTAGAGCACTTGACTACAATGTAGAAAGTCCTGATTTCAATCCCCAGCACCACTAAAAATAAGTGAATGAAGTTTATAAAACAAAAATATAATAAAAGCAAAAGGCAAAAGACAAAAAGAAAATCTTACTCTGACTCTTACAGGGTCTAGACTGAGTATCTTAACTACTAACGGAATGTTTTATTGCTACAATTTATAGTTTGTGCTTAAAAATGGGAGTCATTCTTCAGGTGTCTTCTCATATTTAATATGCAAGGTTGTGGTGACAGTGTAGAACTAATCAAAGTTGTGATTTGCCAGAAACTCCCCAATGGTAGATGATAGAGAATGGTTAGGAAGATTTTTGTTTATCCATACAAAGTAATAGTATATGGTCACCAAAAACAATAACATATTAAAGAATTTTGAATGATTTAATTCTTTCCAAGAAGTGAGGTATGCTATTTTTATTTACATTTTCTTTTACATGACATTTTATTTTTGTAGTTTGTTTTATTTTCAAAATTATTCACAAACATGAGAGCCAGAAAAAAAGTTATTTTGTAGAGATGAAGAGCTAGATGCTTCAGGATGGGAGTATATATTAATAAGTGCATAAATAACAAATGTGTTCACAACTAGTAATAGCAATATGTACTTTTAGTTGAATTTATGAAAATATAAACAGACAGTTGTCCTTCAGGATCTTTGTGGATGGGTCCCAGGCTCCCCAGCAGACACTCAAATCCATCTATCCAAGTCCCATGTGTAACATGGCAAGTATTTGCAAACAACCTGTGTTCATCTCATATACTATCAATCATCTCTACATTACATATTACACCCAACTTGATGTAAGCACTGGGTAAGTAGTTATGCTGAACTCTTTAGAGAATGGTGACAAGGGAAAAAGGTCTTTACTATTTAGTTCTGCATAGATATAAATTTTTATTTACAATTTTTTTACCTGAGATTGCTAAATTCACAGGAGCAGAGCCTACAGAGATGGAGGAACCATGAACTATACAAATATGACAATCATATACACATCTGTAACAAAATCATTCTAATTTACATCCCCACACACAGCCTTATTGAACAGGTGAGTCTGGACCACTGTCAGTTTATAACACTCCATCCAGAGACAGACGACGTTCTTTAACATGTAGGCCCTTAAATGGTGACGTTGCAAAACTTCAGTGTGTACACGAAGAAGGTCAAACATCATACCCACCTTGTCTCAAATAGGAAATGAGAAATAAGCATCATAATTTAACTCTCCCTAGGAACTTTGAATGGAATTGCTGATATAAGACCCACGTGGTTAGTACACGTGGTTGGTGATACTGTGTTCATAAATACGATCATCAAATGTTTTGCAGACCAGCAAAATATAATAATTTCATGGATTTGAGTCTAAAAATATTTTACATCTGGATGAATCTTTTCGGAAAATTTTACCAATTAAAATGGTCTTCAGTGCTTTTCTGAACCAGGGATAGAAAAATGCGTAAACCATTGGATTCAAAGTAGAGTTCAAGTAGCCAAACCAAATCAGTGCTTCATTCAAAGTCAGTGGAACGAGATAGTTCAGGAAAGGGTCCATGACTGTGCTGACGAAGAAAGGGCACCAGCATATTAAGAAAACGCCCAACAAGAGCCCTAACGTCGTCGCAGCTTTCCTTTCTTTGCTTTGTAAGATTCCGTTTTTCACTTCCAATCCAGTCTGAAGTTTCGGATTTGTACCTTTAATTGATTTTGCCTGCTCTTTAGCTATGAAATATATTCTACAATAGACACACAACATAACAGACCCGGGTATATAGAAAGAAATCATAAAGACCAGTACCCCTGTTATTTTGCTAAAGAAGACAGTGCAGCCCCCCCTGCAGTGAATGTGTTTGTAATATATCTCTTCAGCTCCTTTGAAGTTTAGCTCCAGAAAGATCATTCCAAATGCAAAAACAGCAGGAACGCTCCAACTAATGAAGATCATCACAAAAATAACCAAGAGACTCATCCTGGCTTTGTATCTCAACGGGTCACACACAGCATAGTAACGATCAATGGAAATGAAGGACAAGTGGAAAATGGACGCTGAGCTCAGCATAATATCAGTGCTGGTATGAATTTTGCAGAAGATTTCTCCAAAATACCAATAGTGCTCCACAGATCTCACCATGCTGTAAGGCATGACCAGGCACCCCAGCAGAAAGTCCACAGTGGCCATGGATCGAAGGAGGCAGTTGGTGGGGGTGTGAAGTTGCTTGAAGTGTGATATGGAAATGACAACCATCAGGTTGCCCACCAGCGTGGTCAGAATGATGAGCACCATCAAACTGTACAGGGACGCACGGACATCGCTCGACCAGTTGCTTCCCACACAGGAGATGTTCATTACGTTGTGGCAAACAGACATCGTTTCCGGAACTACACACCAGCTTATCTTTGCCTGTGTGTGCTGAGTAATCTCTCTCCCAAACCCATAGTCAGGATAGACTTCCTTCTCCTTCTATTTTTTTTATTTGCACAAAACTAGCCCAGAAACCTAGAAGGAAAAAAGAATAAACCACAGGCAATGTTATCAACACACTTCTAAAAATACCAATCGCTTCTTGAAGAATAATTGTTTCAGAAGGAGCTTTCATTCCAAGGTCAGTTCTGCAGTTCAGCTCAACAAACTTTTAAACATCTAACTGGAGCTAAACTATAACACCTAATTCTTAGAGGAACTACACGCAATGTTGCCACAATATTAGGTCAGAGGCCAAGTGATTATTCTCATTTGTTTTAATCTATGGGAACAGTCTTTGTCCATAGGAAGCCAAAATCTAGCAGTGAGGCTTACATTCTAACAATCAAAAATAAAAGCAAGTTTAAAACTAAAATATGATGGTGAAAAAAAAATAATTTAAATCTGACCCTTATACAGAATTAATACTCACTATCTCGCTGTGTGTGCTCTGTTTTTTTTTTTTTTTTCCAGTACTGAGAACTGAAGCCAAGGCGTCACACATGCAAGGCAAGTGGTCTACTGAGCAACATTCCCGCCCCTTGTAAAATATTTATATTTAGACAATATTGTGCTATGTTCCTCAAACTGGTCTCCAATTTACCATTCCCTTGTTTCAGCGTCCTGAGTGGCTGGGATGACAGACATGTGCCACCACATCTGGCTAAAATAGTTCTTATAATTAATTGTAGTGAAAGACTATTATGAGTTTTTTCTTCTTTTATTTGCATTTTGTAGTGCCAAGTGCTTCTACAAATATTCCATGCATTGTTTATTATCAACGTTATTCCTTATAAGGAAGACTCAGTATACTTTGTTAGCTTAGTTTTCTAGGAAAGACACTGAGGGCTTAGTTCATTAAACCATTAAAGCTGGAATGTGATGTCAAGTTTCAATTACAAAGTCAATTGTTTCATCAGTCCAGTTACTCTGTCTACTTCAGAAAGAATAAATTCAAGATAAACTAAAGGACATTAAGCTTTAAGTTTCCATGTAAGACTTTATGATATCTTAGCCAAGACAGGGAGCACACGTCTATATTCCCAGCACTCAGGAGGCTGAGGCAGGAGCAAGGAAGTGTGAGTTCAAGGCCAGCATGGGCTAGGTAGTGAGACTGTCAAAAGAAAGAAAGGAAGGAAGGAAGGGAGAGACAGAGAGAGAGAGAGAGAGGGAGAGAGAGAGAAGGAGGGAAGGAAGAAAGGAAGGAAGGAAGGAAGGAAGGAAGGAAGGAAGGAAGGAAGGAAAAAATATTTGTAATGTCTTAAACACTGACACCTTTAGTAAAATATGATATTGGCGTCCCACCTGCCTTAGAATTTTTAATAAGCAATTAAAGTCCACAGTAAGGAGCACTGCAACGGAGACACAGCAGGGGAAAGAGAACCAGGGAAGTTGAAGTTTGATGTGTGCTGTGGGCATAGGCAGGGCACGAGACCTCTTTTGCTTGTCTATCTGTCTGCCCTCCTGCCTATTTATTTGTTTTAGGCTCAACACCTATTACAATTTTTTTCTTATAAAAAAAATCCCATAAAATAAGTGAGAGGAGACTTTGTTAAAATAGAGATGTCATCCTCTGCAAAGCCTCCTCTCCTCGTTAAAGAAGCCCAAAGCTCCATTAGACTCCATTAGTTTGAAAATGTCCTACAATGTATCACTATATTGTGAAAATGCTAGAAAACAGAAAATTCATTTTTCCTTCTCTCTGGGCTAAAGGTTTAGATCAAAACCAAACAGAAATCTAAATTTACCCAAAGCAGAACTGAAAAAAATGCAATGTTTAGGTATTAAAATGTGTGTTTTTCATACATTTGAAACACCTTTTCTAATCTACTTCTATCTTTTCCTGGGAGGAAATGTTCTCATACTAAATAAATCTCAAAGATGTACTTAACTGGATACCCAAGCTCATTCCATGACAAAACAAACTAAAACTATTAGGTCACTTGAACTAAGTAATATTTACATTATACTTAAAATTTTACTAAAAAAAAATAACAGATTCTTACTATGAAATTTGTGTACACATTTATTTACACTCTATTGCTAAAGTTATTAATCTAGTTAGATTTTCTCCAAAGCATTCCCTCCCTTTTCTCCTTTCTTATGCTATTGATGTATTAAAGGAAGCCAGAAAAATCCAAAAATCACTGTTTAGAAGTGTTTGTTAAAAACACTTTCAAACCCATTTCAAACCAATGGCATAAGGTGTAAGGACTCCAGGCAGGAGTTACAACCCAGAGGAAATAAAGAACAGTAATAAAGCCAACTTTATTGATTGGGGAGTAAGGGGAGATTTTAAAAGTGTCATGGTCCTAAAATTATAGTTAGACTCTGTTTTCATCCAAATATATTGTTGCTTTATGACTTCTTATAGATCCTATAAAAATTATCAAAAAAAAAAAACCTCATGGGCCTGCAAAAACACTGCCTCAAACTTATTGTAAGCTCTTAAAGCTTGAGCTGGTTTTTGACCAAACAGTGTCCACCTGAGCAAACTGGAGGAAATGCCAACAGTGCAAATGCATTTAGCTTATGAAACGCCACAAGTCTATGCTGCTCAGAGGAGACAAATTCTTTAAATTATGCTAGAGAAACAGCCACACACACACTAGGTGAATCCATGAAATAGACCTCAGGTATGGCAAGTGTTTGTTCCGAGACACTAGGTCCTTAAATCCTCTCTCCCTGTAGATGTTCCTGGAAATTAGCTGATTTTACATTGGGTTTAGAACCAAGAAGTCAGAAATGTTTAACTTGTCCTGAAATGGAGGAATAACTTTTAGGGGAAAGTCTTCTGAGAGGTGCTTCAAATCCCAACAGAAAGAGCAGTGGCTATAGCAAGGCTGAACTCTGAGATCTGGCCCTGGACGAGAGCATTGTCAGCTGCAATGTGACCCGTGAGTGTGGCGGGCACACACACACCGCTGACATTTTCTGATCACACCTGCTGCACGTGCCTGTCTCACATTCTTATCTAACAAAAGACAGCTGCTGTGTAATGCATTCGCAGGCAACGCGGTGCAGCATTTAACCTTACAGGAAGGCAGTTTGACCTCTCCCCACAAACCCCTCGCTCCAAAATCATGCGCCTGCACAGGTGAGACAAGCAGGTGGTTTGGATGGGGCAGGGCCGTCGGGGTGGAGAGAAACAGTTAAGGTTGAACACGTTTGAAGATGCAGTCAGCAACCTCTGCAGGTAGGCTGACTGTAGGTTTGGAGAAAGTTGTCAAGGGAAGTAGTAAAGCTCTCGGTTCCAGCTGCTGGAGGATGGAGACACTATTTCCCGAGAGGGCCAAGTGCTGACTGCAGAAGGGTAAGAGGTGGGAGAGAGTCAGGAGCTCAGCTTTGCACGTGCGAGTTTGGGGCTGGGCGGTGAAGAAGAGCGGCTGCCGCCTGGGTTCTAGTCCAGCTCCCCACTGTCTCTTGAGGCTGCAGCTTCCCACGGGGTGGGGTACAGATCAGTCTTTGGGGGTTTTATGAGTGTAGAGTGAGTTCCGTTTGATAAAGTGTGTACGAAATCATCCTGCACAGGGTGTTTGTCAAGTAAATAAGCATTCAAAAAGAATGCCAAGAGGAAACTAAAAACATCACAACGCTTTTTCAAAACTGCATGCATTTTTGAGTCGAATGATGCAGGAGAGGCAGAAAGTGGATAAACAGAGGTAAAGCAAACGGAAGTAGTGTGTCATAGGAGAATGGGCGATGCTTACCCGCTACATGATCTGGAAAATGTCTAGAGCATGGACTGAGTGCAAGGCATGAGTAAAAGATTAAATGAATGAACAAATTAATTTGGCATGCAGACCCCCATGTGAATAAAAGGGAGGTGCACTCCTGGACCTTAGCTAGGGACCTGCTACCCTTAAAAAATAGAGCATTTTTGTGTCCTACCATCCTCAGTGACCTTAGTGACCTCAAAAGACAATAGCCAGCTGTGGTGGTGCATGCCTACAATCCCAGCACTAGAGAGGCTCCAGAAGGAGGACTGCCATAGTTCAAGGCCAGTCTAGGCTACATAGTGAGTTGAACACAGCCTGAATTACATAGTGACACCCTGTCTCAAGAAAACATTATTAAATCCAGGATACATTCACCATAGCCCCCAAAGAATCAACTAAACAAGGAAATAAAATTGTTGGAATCAACACAAAAGGACAGAGAAATAAATAAACTCACAAGAACTTAAGTTTTTCTTATTAAAAGTATGGTTTATGTTTTCTTCTGAAGCAGGCAGGGACTTACAAATTGTTTTTGCTGAAGAAAATAACGACTCTTTACTTGGGCTTACACATAATCCAATACGTAACTAAAAACAGAACACAGCCCAGGATCTCCGTCTCCATTTTGTATCCGTCTTTTTTTTTTTTTTTTTTTTGGTTTTTCTCCGGTACCGGGAACCGAACTCACGACCTTGCGTTTGGCAGGCAAGCGCTTTGCCGCTGAGCTAAATCCCCAGTGCCATATCCATTTTGTTTACTGCCTTAAAACTCTGGGTGAGATGCCTGTCAACTCTACAACCTTAAAATGGTCTAACTTATCTTACTCCTCTTCGAGACTGAGGACACCAGACGAGAGATTGGCAGGGACATTCAATGTCTCTTCTTGCCCCTTGGAATGGGCACCTAGCAGCCTCCAGTCACTGCCCTAACCCTGTAGTCACCCTGGATTCCAGCAGAGCTTCCTGGAAACTGACACTGACCCTCGATGCAGGAGCAATCACTTCATGGAAACTGAATCGTCCCTCAAGCTACAAGGACTTCCCCAGAGACTGCGAGACAGGAAATGAGATTATGATCAACCTGGTCTTATCTCATCGCTGCAACTCCATAAAACCGGCCACTTGCCTTGTTAACAGGCCAGCCCGGTTGTGTCCTTCAGCACTGTGTTCTCGTCGGCTTTTCTCCTCAAGCTGAAGTCCTTTTCCCATTGCTGCCGTTGCCTCTGTTTTGATTTCCATTATCACTAAAGCAAGGACGCATGCAAGCGGGTGACAAACCGAGGAGTTTATTCTTGTCTATGTGCCCTGGGGCCAATAAAAATGAGTGCACATACACCTAGCCTGGTTCTGAATTCCAAAGATAAATGTCAAACTCTCATAAGCATGCAGAGAAAAAATACAAAAAACTGATTTAAAAACATAGTGTACTGCGGGTGTGGCTCTGTGTAAACCTTAAATTTGATATTTAGCACCTCAACAGAGAAAAAGAGAATTGGACTAACACACAACTGCTCATCTGTCATTCTGGAAGCCAGAGGGTGGACAATGAGTTTAGAAATTCGAAGGAAATAGAATGGCAATTCACCATTCCTATGTGCAATAGTAACAGTGATCCTGTGTTGTATTTCAGTTCTTAATATTGTTAACTAAGAGTTGGTGATACTGAAACAAAAATATTTATAGAAGAACAATAAAAAAAGGAAACTGAACCAAGTATGGTGATACATGCCTGTAATCCCAGCGCTCAGGAAGCAGGAGGATTGTCACAAGCTTGAGACTACCCTCAGCTACATAGCAAGTTCAAGGCCAAGCTGGACTACATAGCAAGACCTTGTCTCAAAACAAACAAACAAACAAAAGAAACTAAATTTTAAAACAAGTTTTTCCTGGGTAGTGTAATACCAGGTCTGTTTTACTTTATTCTTTTCTAAATATCTCATGTTTCTTAAAACCAGAAAAATAATTATTTAATCAATTAAATGTATTTTCTATGAATAGGTTTCATTTCTTTTTTTAATTTTAGAGAGAAAAAAACAAAAACAAAATAACAACAAAGACAAAACCAATAAAAATGATATAGAATTTCACAATAAGATGATAGGAAATTAACAATGGTTGTTATATTACGTATTGTTATCTTCAACAAAGCTGCTCAGATTACCAGATGTAAGAATGCAAGATTGATCAAATAATTAAGCATCAACTGTTCCTTTCAGTAGATCATTAGAAATCAGTGGTACAGTTATATTAGCTATCTTGTGTGTGTATATATATATTTCCCTTCCTTTTCTCCTTTCCCCCATCCCAGTTCTTTCCTTTTAAAA